TGCTGCAGCTCTCAGTCTGAACTGGTTTTGTGCTGCAGCTCTCAGTCTGAACTGGTTTTGTGCTGCAGCTCTCAGTCTGAACTGGTTTTGTGCTGCAGGTTCCAGTGAAGGTGCTACATGCTCACAGCGCTGACGTCACCGCAGCCCGGTTCTGCTGCAGCGACCGCAGCATCCTGAGCTGCTCGTTGGACGGCAGCGCCATCCTCTGGGTAAACTGCTGCTCTCCATTCGTTCCTGCTGTGTGACTCTGCGCTGACCTCTGACCTCTACAGGATGTGGACAGCGGCCGGCCTCTGAGGCTGTTTGCTGGAGTTCACAGCAGAACAGTCACTGAGTGTGCTCTGATCCCAAACAACAACAGGTTGGGCTCCTACAGCTCGAGTCTGATCATTTACACTAATCCAGAATAACACGCAGACCTTAAGGTGTGTGTGTGTCAGGATGGTGACGGTGTCCTGGGACAGGAAGATGGTGGCCTGGGACCTGGAGACGGGACGTGTCCTGGTAGCTGCTGTCCTCCTCCTGTCCTCTTCCCGTCCCCTGCTGGGAGGACGGCCTGCTGACCGTTTCCGGTCTGTCTGTTCAGTGGGAGACGGAGTTGGACGGCCTGCTGACGTCCTGCAGCTGCTCATCTGACGGTCGGCTACTGGTCTGCGCCGCCGAGCCTCAGGACACCGTCTACGTCTGCGGCGCCTCCGGTGGCCAGACGTTGCATCGCATCAGCAGTAAGACGGCGTCCCAGCACACTGGACTCCACCTGTCCCTATGAGACGTTCATGCGCCGCTCTTGTCCCCCTGCAGACCACCACAGCTCCACCATCACACGGGTCCGATTCGACCCTCCTGACCAGCGGGTGGCGTCAGTGTCCGCAGACCGGACCATCAAGCTGTGGGACCTGCAGGCCAAGAGGACGACCATGTCCATCTGCAGGTTGGTGCAGCGAAGTTCTCTGTGCTCTAGGGGGCGCTGTTGTCCCTTCTCTCCAGTAGAACCTCTCAGGTCCGGTTCAGTAGAAAGTTATGTCCTTCACTCAACCTGAACAAGCATGTGGTGACAGTGGAGAGGAACAACAGGGACAACCTTACAGAACCAGAATGGTTTCCATGGCGATAGAAAGTACCCCAGATCTCTCATCATCTGTGTTTGCTCTCTCCCTCAGTAACCATAGCAACGTGATTTCCAGCTGCTGCTTCAACGGCAACGGGCACTTCCTGTGCACGGCATCATGGGATAAGACGCTGAAGCTGTGGGACCTTCAGGGGGGGCAGTTCCGGTCTAATGGCGGCGCGGCGCTGCAGCGCAGCCATGAAGGCAGTGTGAGCTGCTGCGTCCTGTCTGCTGACGGTGAGGCGTTCAGGGACGGTGAGGCGTTAGGGGACGGTGAGGCATGAGGGGATGGTGAGGCGTT